TGGCACTTTGATGATACCTAGGCAGGTGCTTAACCATCCTTGGCATGCTCCCCCTTGCTGACCCACGTCTGTTTAGGGATTCTGCTCCAACCTTGTTTTGAAATGTTTTCTTACTCTGGAGACAAGCAGGGATACCCGGAGTTAGTTGATTTTGTAAAAGTTCCATTCTTCTCTCAAAGTTTGCATTCTTTACACTATTCTTAGGAGGCTTTGTGAAGTAAACAAACATTCTGGTAGGATGTACCACTAAACTTTTATGAAACAAAGCCAGTTATTGGTTGATCAAAAATAAATGTTTAAAAAGCCAAGGAAGCTGTTTTGGAAATGACACTGTACTACTGTTGTTCCTGGCACCTTTTAGCATTAAAGAGAGAATTGGAAAAAAAAAAAAAAAACCAGAAAAACTCCAAAGAAAAAGAAGGGAAAATAGAATTTCTGGTAATATGCATCCTTTAATTTCCCACAATGCTATCTACCTGCCTCCTTCCTTCCTTCCTTCCTAGTTAATCACATATTGCTGACTAAGAGTCACTGTAGGTTCCTTGCAACCATTTCAGGCTGTTCAGTATGAATTGATTTAATTCAATTTCTGTCACATGTGGCTCTTAACCATTTCTGGGAAGTTTTCCTCACTTGGGGATTTGCTGAGAGCTGTTGTGAGCAGGGACTTAAGCTGCTTTGAGTTGAAGTATCTGTGTTGCTGCTAACTGTGCTGTAAGATTTTAGTTGCTACTTATTTATTCATAAGATGAGTCTGCCTACGTCAGTATAGAAACAAACAAGATAATAGCATTTCTGTCATTCAGCTTGGAGATCTGAACTGGTTTGCTCCTAACAGTAAGTACTATATGGTTTTAACTGATAACATTGCAGTTAACAATGCAGTTTCCTCTCAGTAGGAAGTAACTGTTTTGCAAGCTAGAATAGAGGTAGATCTGTCAGAAAAGTAGAACCGTTTGGGTAAATGTAATGAGAGGAGGCAGTAGCTGTATTGATTAGAAACGGGAAGCTCTCTCCAGATTCTGCAGGCAAATAGTGTGCCTCGCCCTTGTAAGAGAGCTCCGCAGTTTTAAACAAGAAGCCCACATCGCTGTGAAAGAGGATATGTTGCATGCAGTTGGTCAGTAACTGCATACTGTAGCTTGTGAGGCTACTCTGTTTAATGACAGATCAGAAATCTGTATTATTACTACTGTTGTTGTTATTGTTGTTATTGAAAGTTTTAAATGAAAATTGAATGCCACATATATATTCAGCAACTTGACAGTGGCAATAAAGAACTTTTCTTCCTTGTAAAGCAAAATGACTTCTGCAGAGGTATCAAAGGTAAATCTGGATTTGATTTATCAAAATAAGGAACAGAGAGGGAGACAAAATATATAAGTTTCATAGTTAAATCTTCAATCTCTTTTGTCATGAAAGGCCGTATGCTCTAATATCGTAAAAGTATAACATTGCTATATTAAGAACTGATACTTTTCTTTCTTAGTCTTCAGCAGCTATGTTGGGTTTTGCTTTAAAAAGTTATTTGCATGTATGAGCATGAAAGAGGTTTTCTGAAGTATAGAAGCTATCACTTCCCAATAGATGCTGATGCTGCTGTCCAAGGAAAATAGAGATGGGGTATCATTTACTGAATTTCAAAGAGGACTTCATAATGTATCCCCAAACCCCAGATTAATTTATATAATCCTTGAAGATAAACGTATATAGAATTTTTATTGATCTTTCCTTTGCAGCAATCTAAATATAACCATTGCATCTTACTGAGATTTGAATTCTCTTTGAGCACCAAGTATTTATTTCCAGTTTGAGACGATATTAGTTTAGAATTTTCAGTGCAGATGACTAATTTGTTGCACACATGCTATTAACATGCTCCTTGTATGAATCATATTTGTTTTAATGCATTAACTTTATTAATTTTCATTAAATATTGGGACAAAACGTCCACAACTTTTTTCTAATATATCTATATCTATATCTATCTAGAGAGAGAAAGAGAGAGAATACACATACACACACAGTTAAATGTCTAATTCATGTCTTATGATTTCTTCACATCTGTGCTTTCAGTCATGTTATCTTTTTTCTCATTTTGTATCTAGTAAGCTAAGCAAAGGCCGTGACTGACCCAGGGCATTTATCTTACATATTGCATGACTAACTTGGCATTTAACCCAGGTTTTTACTCCCTAGCATGGGCTTTAAATGTTTCTAATTTTAAGATGGTTACTATCTTCTGTGCTCTTTGCAGATTTTTTTTCCCTTTCCTAGCCTATCATTTTCAGTGATAACTTTTTTCTTTCAATTTGATACTTTTTCAGACTACCAATAAAAATGAATGGCAATAGTGATTAGTCCGATTATCTTCAGTAGCTTGATATGAAATATTAAATGCATTTTGTGTTCCCCTTGCTCCTGGTTCCTCTTTTTTTGAATATATATTAATTATCAGTCCCAAATGAATAAAAGTATAAATTTGTCCTGAGCAATACCAATGTATAAATAACATGATTTCTTTCCAGATAGTTCAAAGTAATACTGTGCTATGGTGATAGTCTTGAAAACTCAAGGCTGAATTAGTAGTGTAAAAAAAAACAAAAAACCCAACCTTTAAATAATGTGGGTAGAATTTTGTTCACCCAAGGCAGTTTTTGTTAATCTCTCCCTAGATCAAAAGTATCAAAAGTAGGCAGGCCCTCTGAACTGGATATTGGGGACACAATATTCTTTAAGAAGGGAGGAGGAGGAAATGCCCATTCAATTATGTTTATAGAAATTTTCCATTGGATTGTGTCCTTTATTACTTTAGTTGCCCCTCTTCTCCATCATTAAACAGGAATGTCAGTCTTCTCTTGAACTGCTAGTCAAAAAAATGGTACAGTCAGGCTTCCAATGACAGAGTCTCTGTTAAGATTTATCATATAAAAGCATCATGAAAGAATTCCAGTAAGTGCTGTGAATCAAATGCAATTTATACTGAAACCAACATTCAAATTCTTGCTCCTCGTTCTCCTGCCCATGAAGTGTAATAGGCTTGAACTCATTCTCTTTTGCACAGGATGGAAGGTTTCCACCTCTCCTTAATTTTTATGAAGGATAGTCTTGTTTCAGACTGTTGCCTTCTGTCCTTCTGAGAACTGACTCTCACCGCTAAAGCCTTCTTCAAATCATGCTGCATCCTGATCACTTCAGATACAATAATAGTCTCCTGTTGCCTTATTCCTTTGTGCTACTGCCTAGCTGGGCCCTTCTTCATTAGTTGTAAATATATAATGAGAAGCCACAGTTTTATGTCTCTCCAAAAAACAATATTTTTGTGACTCTTAACGAGCTAAGAATTCATTAAATATATGAAAGAAACTGTCAGTGAACTTTAAATGTTTTTATACTGAAATTGGGCTTCACCTAGATTCTCACTAGATGCTGATCTGCTCTGTTCTCCCAGTTAATAGGCAGCTTAATTCATACCATTCCAATTCAGCATAAGTTTATTATTTTATAAAAAGTAAATTTAAAGGGTGGGCAATTTATTCATTCATTCATTTATAAGCCACTTCAATCAAGGTGATTCTAAGAAGTAGCAATAGCTGCAGTCAATGCAGTAATAAGAATAAAATATAATAATGTAATAAAACAATGTTAATAAATATAAATAAAATAAATACAGAGTTATGGTTAAAATATATAATTAATATAATAATAGAAATGGAAATACAGATCCTTTTTGGTCCAGATGGCTGCTGGTTGCCTGAAATGGTGAGGCAGTCAGGAACACTGAGAAATAGTAAGGAATGGAAAGGTAAAAAGAGTTGTGATTATCAGCTGGTCTTATAGCATGCTAATACCTAGCAATCATATCTTTTAATGGAGGATTTCCTGAATGTCTCTGGAAGTTCTTTGGATCAGATTACACCCAAGTTTAGCTAAGCAACGGAGGGTTTTAGTACTGTACTTTAGTGGCTGTGAAGTGAAGTAAGCAATGGAGGGTTTTAGTACTTTAGTGCCTGTGAAGTGAACTGTTAGAGCCATTAATATGAATTGGGCCATCAATGCTAAGCATGGGAGGATAGATTAATGGGACAGGAGTGACAAAAAATAACACAAGGCACTTTGGACACAACTGACACATTTTCAGGAACTGTTACAGAAATAATACTCTTTAAAGTACTTATTTCAATACTCTTCAATACTCTTTAAAGTACTTATTTATAGATACTTTAAATAACCTAACAGTTTTATAACTGTTATATAATACTTTAAAATAACCTAACAGTTTTCAGCTTTGGTAAGTTAAATTAACAAATCATATGAGAGCTATTTTAGCAAACAAGCTGACCAATATTACACCTTAGTCTGATAATCTTTCAAACTTCTGTATGTCAGATTCTAAGATAAAGTTGTTATTCCACAATTTATACTTCTTAAAGGTCAATAAAGAGTTCACTTAACATTTTCTATTCCCAGGGTATTTCTAATTGTTCCATAGCAACATGAGAATGGCAGTTGTTTATGAACTAAATTGACTGTGCTGACAAACAGGCCAAGGAACTCCTTTAGTTATTTCTGGGTTCATTGTGTACTGTCCCCTTATACAAAATGTATCTTTAGTTTTAAATATCAAGGTATAAGTCCTCTGTCCTATTCATAGGTAACTGCGATTCCCCTGAAGTCTTTCTTTATGGAAGGACACAAGAATCTTTTCTGTACAATTGAGTTCTCCAGAAACTTTGACTTAAAATATTTAAGTTGATATTCTGATGTTATTTAGTAAATAGAGGCATTAAAATATCCATCTTTATATCTAACTTGGCAAATACAGAACCAAGACATGCCAGGAGTTTTTTTAAAATAAATTCTAACAATTTCAGGTTTCGTGAAGTAAGATATCAAAATGAAGTCTGGAGTAGCACTGCGTTGTTAAAAGCAGATGAGAGGTAATATCTTGGAAAATATGTAATGTTTGTATTTTATTTTTGTCTTGTAAATAACTACAGCAAGACCAGCTTTATACTTGGGCTGCAGTCAATCAACCCACTCATTCTTCAGATTACAATGAAGGAAGATTTCCAAGGAGAAGTCCATCAGTGTGGCCAGCACCAAAGCCTCCAGATGAAGAACAGAAAGTGAACCATATAAAGAAAGGTAAGGGGATACTAATATATGGAAATGATGGCAATAACAACCAAAACTTTGAGCCTGTATTTAAAGCCAACATTTCTGAATTAATTGGAGGCCAGAAAAAAGCTTGTGCTACCTCAGAAGTTGTTCTTGTGAAGAACAATATGAGGAGGGAATGCCATGTATGCTGCTTTGAGCTTCTGAATGAAAGGCAGGACATAAATCAGATAAAGAAAGAAAAGGTGGAAAATAAGTTTTGCATTCACACACTCCAGATTGTACAATATATTTTGCATGACACTGTGATTCGTTAGTTTCCAATTTCACATCATTATTATTTTCCAGTGGATAAGCACTGTTAATTTTGAAGCTTCAGCCAAAATGTTCATTTTAGGAAGAAGACTGAATCTTAATTAGCAATTAGCAATTTTCATTACTTTTTTTAAAGTTTAAAATACTTCCCAAGATAACTTACAAAAAAAACATTAAAACAACAAAAACCAATATAATGCTATATTTATCATCATTATATTTACAACCTACCGAGAAGTAACAACATGAGGGAAGTAACAAATTTTGGGGGAAGTGATTTTAGCATTCTTTCTGCTTCCATTTGAAGGAATAAATGCATTTTAGAGAAATGTATTTGATGGTTCACTGGATCGATTTCTGTGAAATGACTGCTGTGAAGAGCAGTAAACAGCAGGATTCAAAGGAGTGATTTTGTGCGTCAGGCCTAGTTTGCCTTTTTGTGATTTTTTGAAGAAAAGTATTTGACTTTTCATTTCACCCTTCAATCAAGTGGTATTTTGTGACTGGACATCCCATATTTAATGGCACTTAGAACACTTGAACTCAAAGGCTCCAAAAGGTTAACCATCTCTGATTACGGCCCTTCCTGTAGCAATTTATAGTGTCACCAAGCTGTTGCCGTGGTGGTAAATCAACCAATGCAGTCAGGTTACTGTATATTGGTCCACCTTACAGCTGGCTGAAGCTACAAATCACTAGTGTGGAAACGCTCCCCATCTTTGCTGAGCTAAACTTCCCAGATAGCTTCCCATAACTGATCACATCCATTTTTTCAAAACCATCAGTAGTAAAGCTGAGGCATTAAAGTAATAGGAGAAAAATTCAGTTGATTAGTAACACACATTGCTGAATTGGTTTGTTTTGGTCTTCATTGACTGAAAATTGAATGCTTTTTTTTTTTTAGACCCTGGGCATATGTCCTCCTCCTCCTCCTCCTCCTGTCACACAATCAGCCAGATGTTTAGACTGGATTTGGTATTTTGAGTCCTTCCCAAAGACCAGGGATAGGCAACTGTTGTTTTTTGATGGTGTTAAAGGTATTGTCGCAGGATGTAAACTGTTCCAAGTAAAGCTGCCTTTTGTGATTGACTGATGGTGATTTTGTCAGTACTGATGGTGTTCAAGTGGTACTCCAGATGTTTTGGGATTGCACCCAAGGTGCCTATTGCTATTGGTACTATCTTTGCTTTCTTTTGCCACAGTCATTCTATTTGTATTTGTAGGTCTCTGTCTTTTGTGATTTTCTCCAGTTCTTCCTCTTCTATTCTGCTGTCTCCAGGTATTGCAATGTCC